TTTGTCATTTGTGGGTATTTTTGTCAATTCCTAATTTTTTAATACAGACATATTATTATTATTATTATTATTATTATTATTATTATTATTATTATTATTATTATTATTATTATTATTATTATTATTATCCATTAATCCTAATATATATTTAATAATTTCAAGACTAACATAATCTATCAAAAGCATTTTTCCTCTTCAAAATTTAGATGAACTCCAGTCGACACCCAACACAGTTTTGAGTTATCGGCACCACACACTTCTTTTTCAAATTTTTCACGCTTCTTCAAAATTGAATTGAAGTCCATTATATCAAATCAGATACAGAGATCGTAGACCTTCGGTGATAATATTTGCCACAAATAAAGTTTCAGATCAATAATTTTTTGGAGCAAACTAAGGTAAGAATTTGAAATTAAACGTGTTTCGTAATATCATACAAACGTAAACTTGTGTAATTGTTATGTTTAGATATTATAAATAATTGTTTTATTATTGTGGTTGGTTATTCTCTTTGTTTAATCAATATCCTTTTTTCAGATATGATGATCACGAGGTCTTGTTGGATATCATTATATTTTTTGGATCTTATATCTAGTTTAGTAGACTTGTATTGCAATGTTATTGTATCTTTATTAGCCTAAAAAATGTGAACAAAAATGAAAAAAAAACTATGTTTTAGTTTATTGTGATTCACTTTGATTTAGTTGATATTTAAATTTATAGTAGATATATTTAGCCCCTATTTGAGCCATATTTTCCATATCATCATAATGAGAAAATAGACTATTGGAGAGGAGGTTGGGTCGCACACATGAAATAGCAGGTCAACGAAGGTGGCTGGACTTGTGGAATAACGGTCCAAATTTTTTTTTTTTTGTCCCAAAAATTTGGTTCAAAAGGGGGCTTAATTTGTTTTAGATTTATTACTAGTGAGATATAAATATATATTAAATTCAAAGAATTAATAACATAAAAGTAGACGAGCAAAAAAATATATGGCGAAATCGGCGGTTTAAAACCGGACCAAACCATTAGGTTTAGGTTTGAATTTTTTTCAAACCGTTCAAAATGGTTTGATTTAGGTTTGGATTTTTCTCAAACCGTTTTAAACGGTTTTGTTTGAAAATCTATTAAAAACTGGTAAAAGCGGACCTCTTACACCCCTACCAACCACATCATAACCACCAACCACACAACCAACCACATCGCATCGTAACATCGTGCCATTTGAACCCATCGTCATCTGAACTTGCTGGATCTAATCAAAGCCACCATTGATGTATCGTGTTGCCAGAGATGACGCTATCATCCTCAGAGATTCGAACACGGGAATGATACAGTCAAACATAGATCGTGTTGCGATCAACGTAGTTCTTAGATTGATGGACAGCGAATTGTTGTAGGCATGATGGCGATGCAACGGCTGTGGATAGTGGTGTATGGTAGCACAGTGGCTATAGATTTTTGGATGAGAAGGGTGAAGAGATGGTAGAGGAAGAGAGAATGAGGGGGCACGGTAGAGAGAGAGAGAGAGAATAAGTTGGGAAATAATTAGGGTTTGAGGAAGGTGGATATGTAAAATGATTTAATTTTTGTAATAATGTTATTATTATTTATAATAGTATATTATTATCTGATTTTTGTATTAAAAAATTTCAAATTTGATTGAATCTCAAAAATTTTGGTTAGGTGTAATTTTCACTTTTCCGAAAGCATAGAGGTCCGGGCCCAATTAACTTTTTATTCCATTCCAAGTTCAAGTGCAAAAGCCCGATTTGTTTAACTGCCCTTTTAATTTAATATTTATCTCCAAGGTTTCCTCTTCTCCATATAATGCAATTTAGTCCTTTAGCCCATTCAATTGCAAAACACATGTTTTTCTTCAATTCGATTAAGCCCTTCAATTTTCAAAGTGTGAATATTAGTCTTCAAATCTCCATCCAATGGCCAACTTATCCTTCATCATTTTCCAAATGCTTCAAACTAGTCCATCACTAAAAACAAAAGAAAATTAACCCAAGATAAGTAGAAATTGATAATTTGATAACATGAAAAGTTTAATAATATGGCCTAAATAAATACACAAACGCACTTATCAAATTTGTTGTTCTCAAGTACTTCTCTATTGGCATTCGTAAAAAAAAAAAAAAAAAAAAAAAAAGAACTGGTGGATGCCGAACTAACCCTAGAAAGACATTCTCGAAATGGGATAAAATGATGTTATATATAGTAGATTAATAGCATTGTTTATTTACTATATTAATAGCATTGTATATTTAATATATTAATTATATGATTAATTAAGAATGAATTAGGAAGTTGTTTAATGTATGAATTAATTAATGATTTTTATTTGGATTTATAATTAGGCTGGATTGGAGAAGGAATTAATCCTACGAGATCAAGAATATTTTAATTTACTTTCACAAATCATTGTTGAATTTTTTTTTAACTGTACATATTATATTTTCATAGCCGATTGGATTGAAAAATAAATTCACCGCTGAAAAATTTTGTTTTCATGGCATACAATAATGCTTATTTCTTAAATGTATATAATAGTTCTCATTGTTAATTTTTTAAAAAATTATTTATATTAATGATTTTTAAGACTTTATCACTGCATACATAATGCTTCTTGTTGAAACTCTTTTTTAATTGTACATATTAATGGTTTTTCATGAGAGTAATAATATTAATAATTAATAATAATTATATTAGTGGCGTAGAAGTTAAAAAAAAAAATTTGTTGAAAAATGTTTTGTGTATATAAGACAGTGCTGAAAATCAGATCAATTATGTCATCAATCTTTGCAACCAAAAATAAAAAAACTACAAGAACAAGAAAAATAAAAAATTAAGGGTGCGTTTGATTGCCAATATTTTTCATGGAAAATATATTTTTTTCCACCCAAATGCCTACTTTACTACTAAATCCAATAAAGACAGAAGAAAGAAGCATTCAACGAGTAAATTATTAAATATATAAATACAAAAAGAAGTTTAGAAAAGAGACCTCAATACTATGATTCAATTATTTCAATAATACCATATTTTTGATTTTTCAATATGTATTTAATTATTTCAATAATACCATACTTTTTGTTTTTCAATATATATTTAATTTATTAAAAATTTAAACCATTTGAACAATATTATCATTACTTATTTTCTCAACTAATAGTTAAGATAACTGTACATTTGATACATGTGTTACATATTAAAAAAAAAATGAAATGTTAGGTATTATAGAAATAATTGAATTGTAGCAAGGTTAAAATAGTCCAAAAATGATTTACACTTGATGTGATATTTAATATATTATAAATTGTAGATGTAGATAAATAGATTTTATATATATATATATATATTATGTATACTTACATATAGGTAAACGATCTTATAAGCATGATAAATTGAGCATTAATGACATGCATATCAATTAATTGACGAACCATTTAATTACTGAGACCTATCATAAATTAATTCGCCAATTAATTGATAAGTCATGTTTTCAGTGTTTAGCTTATTGCCAGTAATGAATAATTTTTTTTGTTCTATACAAAAAGATTTTTCAAAGAAAAAATTAGATACCATGAACAAGGCTTTATTTTTAAACGATATACTTCCACATAAATCATTGAAGAGTTCAATATGAATTATCAAAGGGTGTTGTTTCATTGTAGTGCAACTTGTACATTTTGTTCAATTCATTAAAAACATCTATTTACATTCATAGGTTGAGTAGAGACACTTGATGATGCATTCGAATGATTGAATAAAATTGACAAGTTCACGTATGAGCATTCTCGCGTGATTTGAGGATTGAGTACCGTGTTATTGTGAGTTGGTGAAGAGGTAGTAGATAGATGAGAAGGAAATGCCCTGATGATGAAAAAAACTCATTAATCGAGAAGAAGAGAACACCTCACAATTTTTTTCTTTTTTAGAAAAGAACACCTCTCAATGCCTTGGATATCTCAAATTCGACTCATGTTAGCTTAAATCTCAATCTTTATTCTATGTTAACGATTACTTTAATGTGATTTCACTAGAATAAGTTACAAGAGGTAAGAATTGCACCTTGCACTCTTTGTCTGCATGTGTGGAAGTAATTAATTGTAATTTGATTTTTTGAAAAATGATTTTTTTGACAGAATGAGTGGTTAAAAAGTAAAGAATATTACAAGGAAACGTGAAAAATTATTATTATTATTATTATTATTTTTTTTTTTTTTGAAAAATGATTGAAAATAAATACAAAGAAAAATGATTCTCAAATAATCAATTTCAAATAAGAGCTTAGTTACTTTGGATCTTTTAGTAACAATTGATCAAATGGAAGGACAAAAATGATTTACAAAATTCACTCTAAAATTTAAAAACTAAAAAACGTTTGGTAATGTTCATAAACTATTTTATAATCAATCAAACTATTTTTATTTATATATTTCATGGGATCTAAAAGTATTACTTATTTATTAATGATTCATTTCTATCTAATTATAAATTGTTTATAAAAATTTCCATAAAAAAACTTTACTTTGTTGTTTTTGGTGTTAATTTGGTATCTAGTAAAATAAACAACACTATATCTTGGGAGGAACTTGAATGAGAAAAGTGTTATTGATAATTTCCACAATAATTCAGAAATAATAAATGATAATTACCATGTTGAAAATATTTCGTGAATTCATATGAATCCTAACTCAAAGACAACCATATAGAGTTGACAATTTTTATTTTTTTTTTAAAGAAAAGATTGATGATAATTATTACTTTACATAAATAGCATTATTTTTTCGATATGTTAATGGGTAAAATATTGCCAAGTCGGGTCGTCAATGCGGGTTCTTGTCCAAACCCGATCCACCCACAAGCTTTTTCTAACCCTGCCGGTAATTTTTTAGCGTAAAAAGTAGTTTTCAGTATCACTTAAAAAGGCGGCGATTCTCAAGAATCTGCTTCAATTTTCCCTCCAAAATTTTCTTTTTTTCTTAGACCCTGACTCCTCTCAGGATTTATGTGGGCGCCAGTAAATCTCTTGTCTAATTTCGATTCATTTTCTGTTGATTCTCTAAATAATCGAAGTTCTGCTTTCTTTATCAAATTTTGTAATTTCATTTTGGTTTGTCATCATTAATTAAATCGCCCATTTCTTTAATTAGTTCTCAAATCAATGGAAGTTGTGGTATTTACAGCACCCTTTAGTTTTGTGCCTTTTTTCTTTTTTAATTGTCGTAAATAAAATTGCCCCTTATTATCAGTTCTCAAATCAGTGAAAATTCTGTTCTTTACATCATCGTGTAGCTTATTTCCGAGTTTTGATTGGTTTATCATGAATTTTTATCTTCATCAGTTCTTAAATCAATAAAAGTTATAATTTTTTACCTCATTCTGTAATTTCTTTTCTTTTTTTCTTTTTATTATTATCATGAATAAAATTGCTATTTTCCTTTTAATTGGGGATTCTTTTCTTTCTTTCTTTTTTAGCTTGTCTTGTAATATTTTTCTCTTTTTCAAATTGCAGATGAATTGCAATGGTGACGCGAAGCCTAATAAGAATTATTCCGCCGAGAATAATTTGAACATTGATTTAATCAACTCTGCAAAGCAGCCCGTTGGAGGTTATATTTTCTTTGTTAATTATCTGTTTCTTTTTAATTTTTTAAGCTAGCAAATTTTGTAACTTTCCTGTTTATATTAGGCAGATAGGTTTTACTTTTAGATTATGCTGAAAATTTGGAGTCACAGATTATTATCCAACCGAATAATATACGACTATATGGTCAAGCTTTTGTTTTGGCTCAAAAAATAGTTCTCCTATTAAAAAAAATAAAATCACATCATTAGTTTTAAGAATATTCTATATTGTTGACTGTGTAATTACTTGCTTATTCCATGTTCGTGGAAGAGTTTATCAGCCTATTAGTTATTTGCAGAAAACCAAACATTATACGGTAAAGTTGTTTTATTTTTCAATAAATATGTCTTTATATTCAAATAAGAATCTGTGGTCAAAAGTTGTGAGTCCCGTGAAATATGTGGTTAGAATTAATTGTTGAATTTGGCTTAAATTTAAATTTAAATTTTAGCCGAACCTAACAGGGGCAAAGATTGCATTTTTTTATTCAGAGAGACCTCTGTTCTTGGTGATTGTGGAACTAATTTAATTTGAAATTTATATTTTGTTTCAATGGTAAAAGATGCATTGTGGGCTTAGATTGTAACTCATGAGAAAATTCAAATGTAGTGTTGAAAATTACCATCTTTTAACAATGATTTATTTGTCTAAAAAGATTGCCTTTTCATGCTGAGGATAATTATTTTTGTTTTAGCATTCTATGTTATATATAATCTTATTGCAGTGAATGTTTATGTGGGGGTGGAAAATCCGCGACTTAAATTGCAATAAGTTTACTGTGATTTTGGTTATGAATGTCTGGCTAAGCTTAAAAAGTTCAGTTATAGGTAATTAAGTTTTAAAACGAGCAATTTCTTTGATTGATCAAGATTCGAATAAAGCGAGTTACTTTCTATGAGCGTTTTTATGTAAAAGTAGGAAAAAGTAGCATAATAGAGGATTATCCGTGACTTACACCAAGGTATTGACAATGATTTTTAAATCTCGCGGAACAAATACAGAATATGATACTTAAACAAAGACATATCGGCACATGTTTAGAAATAGTATTTACTTAAAAAGTCACTTTTACTTTTTTTAAACTTAGCCAAACATAATGCTCTAAAATTTCAGATGATCCCATTCCATCTCTTTTATTCTAATACTAATCCACCCACAGTATCTTTACCATATAAATTATGTTATTTTGCTGCTTTCTTGATTGTTTAAGTATGAAAAGAAGAGAGTATAAATTGTGAAACAGGATAAACTCTCATTTCTAGTATTCAGCGAGCAATCGTGGGAGCATTGCCCTTATTGATTGGAGATCTTTAAGAGGGCACGCTCTTTTCATCACATAATCTTCTGAGCCTGAGCATAATTTTCTTAGTTATTTTAGAAGCTGATATTATTCTCCATTTTTTGTTGTCCATTTTACTTTCACAAGGAAAGTTTCAACAGAACTGAAAGTGAGAAAAGGTCGTGGTCAATGATTAACTTTGATTCTTTTCTTTCATTTGATTCTTTTCTTTCATGCTAATTTGGACTATAACCTCTGTTCTTCTTTTGCAAGAATGGGTGCTTGAAACTTCATGTCATAATCTTTTGCTTAATTTATATTTTTTTGAGATGAGGTTGGTAGATTGATATTGGCTTAGATTACAGTTTTTAGTAAAACTGCACTGGTTTCACACGTATGAAACAAGGGAAACATTTATAATGCACAATTTTCAGTCTTATGAACCTAGTGGACTTCGGCAGAACGAGAACAGGGCTATGAAAACAGAAGAATACAGAGGGAGATCACTGCAACTAATTTCAAGTTATATAAAACAGAGGAAAAATAGAGAAAGGAGAAGCAACTGGAATATTTCTTACTTCACAAGATTTCTTTCACGATTGTCTTTTTTCATACATCTGTTTTAGGGCATATGTTTGTTATTTATACAAATTCCAACACACACTACAAATTACATATTTAGCCCTCACTTATTTAACAAATTTCATTGACTCTTTAAATAAAAGCACATTACACATTAACATATTTAGAGTGAACCTGGATAAGGTGATATTGCTAGCTTCAATCTGGTAGCAATAACTTGGTGTTTTTCAGGTTCTGGCCATGGAGGATTTACATCATTGCGTGTTGAATCCATGAGGGCCTGCGGTTTGGCAGCTCGTATGAAGGCTTCTCGAGGAACTAAGGGCAAGTCACATTATAGTAGAAGTGAAGATCCTTCTCTGGTCCATCATCCAGTTTTGCAAAATGGTATACATCTTAAGAGAAATTCTCCGAAATCTGGCTGGGAAATCAATGATGAGCATTTACTTGAGAAGTACAATGAAGATGGTAAGGAATCAAGGACTGAAAAAAGGTTCAAAGTTGGTAGTACAACTGTAAGGAAACTTTTTATGGAGGATAGAATTGATGAAGTTAAACAATCAGATGCTGGCCAGAAGCATACAGACGATACAGCAAAGTTGTTTCTTGCTTCTAAAAACTGCTTTGCTGGGTTTGGTTATGCCAATTCTCAGGAACCTGGAGAGTTATCACAAGCCACTGCACAGGACCAGCTTTGAAATTTTGTGGGCCTTTAGGCCAACTTCAAATATGGGGCCTTGGGCCTTAAAATCTATAGAATTTTTGATAGGAAAATCAATAATTATACTATTACCGTGAATGTGTTTTAGAAATTATTTTTAAATAGATACTATAGTCAATCTATTTAACCTTTCTTCCGAAATTGTTGATGGAGGGTAGAATTTTATCAACTTCAACTTTGAGAAGTTTTTCTCAGCAAATGCAATCGTAGAAGGGTCAATATATTCAAGCAACCCACATATTTGGAAAATCATAATCCATCAATTTTATATAGTATAAAGCTTCAATTGCCTTTGTGGTCTCTTAATTCTCTTTTGGTAAACATTTTCTCACAATTTGAAGCTCAGAAAATAACTTGTACCTATCAATATCAAATTTTTGTCGTGCTTTAAAAATTCTTCAAATTATCACATCAATACTTCAAAGATTTATCATTTATAATTTCATATTTTTGAAATTGCTCGAACCTTGACTTGTAAAAAAAGAAAAAAGAGAGACTGGTCAATTATATATAAAAAAATTATCAACTCTAAAAGAATCTTCAATTATTTCATATTGAAAACAAAATGCTCTATCTATGTGATAATTGTGTTTTTGCACATTCGTTTAATATCTAAATAAGATTAAATTTTGATTAATTGGATGAATTTTTATTCACAATTATGTAATTATTGTTTTTGTATGTTTTTGTAGATAAAAATCACCTAAGGTAATAGAACAAGGTGAAAGGAATTGAAAAGGAACCAAAAGTGTACAAAATTGTGAAGTTGGAGACCAAAATGCATAGTTTCCGAAAGTTCAAGGACCTAGAATTGCAAATTTGGGGGCGTAATTGAGATAAAGTCAAAATTCGAAGACCAAATTGTACAAGTTAAAAGTTGGGAGTTTGATACAGGTACATAATTTTTTGTACATAATGGGTGCCTGTCATGTGGGGCCCCCACCATGTGAGTGGAGGCACCCATTATGTATAAAAAATTATGTACCACAGGCATTATTCTAAAAGTTGAGGGATCTAGTGTGAAAATATGGGAGGACCTGAGCTTCAAATTATGAAAAATGGGGGAAGTGGCAATGTGGCGCCCAGCTGCTGCCAACTACAGAATTTGGGCACCATAGCCCCTTTTTGACTCCGCGGTGCAGCGTTTCGGCTCGAGGACTGTTTTAAATTATTTTCAAATGCCCAGGGACTGCAAAGTTTTTGGGTTTTAATATAAAAAACCAAAGTTATGATTCTTCTGCCTCTTCCAGCTGAGCCGGCTTCTGCTTCCTCTTTTTCATTTCCTTTTCCTTTTTCTTTTCTCTTTCTTTTTCTTTTATTTTTCCCTCCATTATCTTGGTATTTTTGGGAAAAATCATAGAATACATCTAAGGTGAATAAATATTTGAAAAAACCAAGGTCAAGCTTCAAAAAGTGTTTCATCTATAACTTTGTATTTTCTTAATTATTTGATCATATTTGTAACGTATTGTATGAAATATTCTTCTTTTTATTATTTATATATTATATAATATATGCTAAGTTATTGTGTTGGGACTTATGGTAGTAATGTAATCTAGCTTTGATTAATTTCAATGTTTGTTCTTTAATGTTAAGTTATTTATTATTGTTATTAGAGCATTTTCATTTCTATGGCCAATGAATTAATGTGTTTAATGATTTGTACATCGTTTGAGAGAATATTGTGCATTTTAGATCAAATAGTATAAACTCTAAATTTGTGTAGAGGATATAAATATACCCCTAACTCTAGGTGACCCTTTAAACTATTTTCACAAGTATTTAATGTGATTGTTTGGTTTTAATTTATATAGAAATATATTATGTTAAACCAATCAGTTATGATTAATTTCGCTCGATAGAGGTAATTAACTAAAATTGAAAAATCAGGTCTAACATCGTAAATGAGTAACTCATTGGCTTGTAAAGAAATTAATTAGACGACAGTTAAGTGAAACCATTAATCACAACCACGTTTTCCTTCGAATTTTTCAAGATTTTTATATTTTCTCATTTTGTAGATTTTTAGTTGTATTCCAAAATTATAAGTTTATTACGTGTTTATTTTTATTGTTAAAATTAAATTAATTAAGATTGTATAATGGAAAATATACATTTCTCGAGGGATCAAAAGCCCGGACTCAAAAGTTCAACTTTATTACTTGAACGCGATCCGTGCACTTAACAGTAATCTTGTCGCGTTCAAGTTCAAATTTTCTATATATTTCAAAATATGAAATAAGTGCTTTCAAGTTACTAATAGATAAATTAATTGACATGTCCTCACTTTGTAATACTTTGCTTACTCTATTAATAGCTGACAATCCATTGTAACATATTACCATGTTAAACAAGAAGTCAAATTTCTTAATGTTAGAAGATAAACTTTTAGCGTCTCTAGATGCCTTAAAAGTCATCACATGTTTCCACCAATAGTTTTAAAGTGACTTTAATTTCTAGCAATTGAAATATTATTGTTTTAATGCTTTTAACTTGTCTTTTCTAACATGTTTGAATTGCCAAGAAGAAAAGTGCTACATAGTTTTTCTCAATGCGTGTTAAACATTCAAAAAAGCTTTAAATACTTCTACGAAATAAAGATTGAACTAACGTAACATTTACATTTTAATTAAAGATTAATATGTTTGCTAATTTGACATTTGAGTTAGCTTAGTTGATTGCATTTGAACTTTATTTTGTTTGAATTTTTTTATGAAATTATTGGAATTTGGTTAAATAAAGTTAGTAAAGTTGATTTTGTATTAACTTCGGTCAAATATTCGGATATGTTCTAATAGTCAAATCACATAAATGAATAGACCAACTTGTTCTATTCATCAAGTAAATGATCATAGTAAATTTGGAATCTTAAAATCAATTCTGAATTAATAAGAAATTAAAGTCCAAAATTAGAGAAAAAAGGGAAATTCGACATATAAGATCGTCACTCGAATGACAACGCAGCAAGCGATGAGCTCACTACTATGAGTGCTCGAACGACATTTTGGGGGAGCGAGGGATATCAAATGGCCCGAAAGGTTACATCCTTTCATAAAACATGCTAAATTTGGGATGTGTTTCTCTTATCACATTCCCTCATCTTATATTAATGGTTGTGCTTGTGTGATAACCCCCTAGTTGTCTGGGGGGGGGGGGGGGGGGGGGGGGGGGGGGGGGGGGGAGGGGGTTGTCCAAGGAGCTTAAGCCTATATTAATGAGACCATTTGAAAATCCATAATTCATTTCATATCACTTTCATATCTCACTTTGCATCAAAACGCTTCAAAATTATTGGTTTTCTTGAATCAAAAATCCATTTTCAGTAGAGAGTCTATTCTCTTTTTGAGTTTGCTGTTCCTTGGGATTTGAATTGGTTATACTGCAAGAAGAAATTTTTGTATCTTGAGAGGCGATTGCCAAGACTTCTTTAGCACCGTTGTAGGACAAATTGCGTCTTAAAGACAAAATGTTGAACACTTACCTCAATTTGCATTTTTCGTTGATTTGTTTTTCATTTCAGCAACTTTGTTTTAATTACTAGTAAGTTTACTTTAATTTCCTGTTTGACTTAACCCTTGTTTGATGGCCATTATTTGACTAGTGAATTTTTAGAGGATATGTGGTTAAAAAGAAGGGAAAAACTTTGAATTTAAGTGCAAAACTTTTTGTAGTGTGAATGCATAATTTAAAATAAATATGTAGAAAAGAGAGTTTTAAAATAAAGGTTATCAAATAGGGGCTTAGTTTCAAACAATGTTTTCAAAACTGTACTAGCCCGGTTCAACCGGGAAACCCATGAACCGATCCGACAACTAGTTCGGTTGAAACCGAGTAACCGAATGTTTCAACAATTGTTACAAATCTAGTAAAATTTCCGATTAGACTGGAAACCTGTGAACCAGGTATGATTTTATATAACTTTTCAGTTACTTAAAAAAAAAAAAAAGAAAATGAGGAAAGAAGCATAAAAAATGATTTGCCAAGCAAAAGGAAGCAGTTGCCGCTGGAAAATGATTTCTGACTAGCTTATTGAGAAGGAAGTCGCCGCAGGAGAAAAATTGAGAGAGAAAAGAACACAACAGCCGTCTTTTAATTTTTTATTTTAACGTTTCAAATGGCATGTGTCTTGTCTAGGTTTATAATCCTAGTGGAATTTTCCATTTTACATGTAATGTTACGATCTTTTTGGGCCGATTTAATTTTTATGTTATGAAATGATTATTACAAAATAATTAATCAAATGTTAAAAACTTAAAATACTTATAAATTTAATATTATTTTTTTAAAAAAAGAATATATTTGTATAATGATACTGTCTGCTCATTGAGAGAGCCTGAATCTATCTTACCCTCATGAATTTCTATTGCGTATTCCAGATTCGAACCCTTGATATTTCCCTTAAAAGAGACATAATTTGAATTTGGATACCAATTGAACAACTTTTTGTAACAATCCAAGACTCATGACCAGCCATTCTCTTACATACTGTTCGTTCGGGGAGAATCTGAACCCATTTTATCCTTCATGGATTTTTTATCGCGCATCTGCACTTTTTGTAGCGAACCATCCTCTATGTCCAAGTCATAAACTTACGTATTATTCGCTTGGAGAGATACTGAGCTCATCTTTATCTTTCATAGATTTCTATCGCGTCCCCAAGATTCGAATTCACGACCTTTGCTTAAAAGAGATTTAAGTTAGTACCAAGATTCAACTTAAATCTCTCTTAAGGGGAAGTCATATGTTCGAATTTTGGGGATGCGATACAAATATGTGAGGGGTAAGATGAGCTCAACTTTCCTAGAGTAAATAGAGTGGATAGTATGTAAGTTAATGGTTTGACAAAGATGATGGATCGTTACAATACCATTGAGAATAAAAGACTCCAAGTTCTACTGAAGGAATGGTATTTTGGGAGCGGTAATACTTATAAGCAGTATGTTAATACAAATGTTCTCCCCACTTTAGGTTTGTTATGATCATATAATTATTTTTGATAATGCAATATAACATACAATTGATTAACCACAATGTATTGAGATGAACATTAAAGAATGCTGAGAATATATGTCTATTTTGAACACTTATGTAATATCTTAAATCCTAACGTGTGACATTTTATAACTTGGTTTGTTGATTATCGTTTTCATTTCATTAGACAATTTTCTCAGCAATGGGGAAATGAATTAAAAAAATTTAAATAGTATAAATGATATATTATTATATTATCTAGATCCTCACAGAAGACAATTCGAACCAGAAATTCGAGATATAATTTATTTAAATGTATTCATTGATCGAAGAAATCAATAATATCTCACGCATTAGTTTTAAATGTTCCAACTCGAATTGACGTCCTAAAAGGATAATTTGTTCACACTATATTTAATAATTCTATGACATACCTGAACCATGATAACATTCAATTCTAAGATAATTTTACACAATTAAACTTGTCCAAGTATAGGAATCTTCTTGTGCTACTATAGTAAGAAGTTAGAGATAAACTTAAAAATAAAAAATAAAAATAAAATTTTAACACTAATTACGAAGAGAATAACTTATAGATGAACTATGCGATGCAATGGAACAAACTTGTTCATTTTTAAAAATAAATTTTCATTTTTATCCAAAACTCTTATTGGGATAAAATCACTTTGAGAAAAAGAAGTGTCTTCTTTTAATAAAATGGAAATGTTCTTAACTAACTTAAAATTATAAATAAGAAAGATGGTTCTGAATTTTGCCTAGAGACGTGAAGGTATAGGAGGAGACTGGCCGAGTCTAAGAAAAACTTGTCCTCCCACTCTATGTCCATAATTAATACACAGTATAAAAAGAAACAACACAAGAATTTTTATATGAGTTTTTAAACTAAAGCACAATTATCAGGTGGTTTGAGTAATGAGTTGTGAAATTATGAACCCTATTTTTTTTTATTTTTTTTGGTAGAGTGAACGATTTGGACAATGAAAAAAAAGAGAAAAGTGGAGTGAGAGAGAGTAGGGGAGGAACGAGAAGCTAAACAAAAAAAATTAAGAAGTTCCAAGTTACGAAATACATCTGCTAGAACAATAAATTTAATGATTTAATATCTGATATTTTAAAATAAAACCAAGAGGAAAAACCAGAAGCACAAATCTATATATAACCCTAAACATAGTCGACCAACTTATCCAACTTATAGCAATATCCTACATGACCAAATTGTCACCCGACCTTAAAATTTCATTCAATTATAGCTCCAGTTTGGCCACTTTTTTGTAAATCTCATTTTTCTTTAAACTTAATTTCTACATATTTCATGTAATCTACAACTTTTATTAATTTTTCTGTCATACATTTGTCTACTTTTATCAAAATCTACTAATAATTACAAAACAAATAAAATAAAGGAGCTTTTAGCTCGAGAAGGCATTTTAAGTCTTTCTTCTTCAAGATTTCATTTAGATGTAATAACAAAACGAATAAAATAAAGGAGATTTTAGTCCGAGAAAGCATTCTAAGTTTTGTTTATCGAGATTCAGTATTGCCAAGAAATTTGCAGTGAAGTCTGTTTTGTTTCACGTAACAATTTGACAAAAATCCTGTTTTCAGTTATTGGGTTTGGCGCAACAGCAGTTATAGTTGAAGAACAAAGTGATCAACTTGCTACTTGAATATAAACAAATGGCAAAAGTCATATGGTCACAGGTCACTGAAACTTCGGACTTTATTTCAATACAGTCAGTCATCTTCAAGCTGCTCCCAGAAGATCACTCAACTTTATGTTCTTTTTTTTTTTTTTTTTTTTTCTAAATGGAATGACAAATCTGACAGAATTTAATTGCCAGATATTAACAAGGGAATGGAAAGATAGAAATCTCAACAATATTACAAACATTATACTTCTGATTTTACAGTACATTCTTACATTCTTATTTCATTTCATTATTCCAAGTGAGACTCTTTACTCGGAGGCGGAGGCTTCACAATGAGAATGGGACACTGGACGTGATGAGCACAATAGTTGCTAGCGCTTCCAAGGAAAGCCCTGCAAGCAGAAATTCATTACACTATTAATGCTTAAGAAGCAAAGATGATGATATTTCGTTAGGAAGAATTTTACTTTCCGATTCTTTTAGTCTATTAGAGAGACATCTTCAGCTAACATCATCATAAAGATTTTGTTAATTGTACAACATAGGAAAATGCAAAGAAGAAACATCTTCCATTGATCAAGCTTCTACATTTAATGGTAACCCAAACATATAGAAAAAGAGAATTAATATAGACAATATTCAAACATTTGTATGGATTATGATGAAAGGTGCGTATTTCTGATGTTATTTACCGTTTGATTGTGCCAAGCCCACGGCTACCAATGACTAAAAGATCAGCATGTAATTGTTCTGCAGCTTGACAAATCCTATCCTTTGGATCTCCTTCAAGAATTAAAGTTTCTGCTTTGATCTGAATGAAATTTAGAATGCATGAATAAATCAAGCAAGAATGTGTTAACATAATGAATCTGAAATTTAGGAGCAATGAATTAAACATGTGAAATCTCGATAAATATGAACTACATATATAGGGCCTAATAGCGTTATCATTTTAAAGAGAGAGTAGTGTGAGGCCTTGAAAGGAAGGTAACAGACTCGGGAAAATAAAGGGAGAACAATGGCACAAGGAAGACAACTTGTCGGCCATGGCTGATTATCTTCTTCACTTCAGCACAACAAGATCACAGCAGCTAGTGAAATGGATATCGTTTATGCTATGTGATAGACAAATTATAGAAGAAACCTTTCTTTTACACTATTAATTAACATATGTATAATGATTATAAATATCAGCCAAATATATGACAACCTTTTTTGACTAGGTTGTGGGTCGATCTATTTCACATGAGTTCATCTAGCTAACGAGGTTGAGATTTGAGATTTTAGGTTGCGCGACTTAGACCATAAGGAATTCAACAAAAAATTGTAATTGATAGCATTAGGAAAATGGTATCACGGAGGATTAGGATCAGTTCATTTAGAAAAATGTCATTTACTTTATCTTCTCTTATTCGACCTAAACTCACCTCTAACTTTGAGGTAATGTTGTACGATTAGTACAAACGACTATCTTTTGAATGAAAAATTAAAAATAATCCACTATAATTAGGGTGAGGTAAAAGTAAAAGAAAAATATTTTCCATATGCATTGAGACAGTTCAATAACTTTCATTTAATGATTCGGGGACATGGATCGATTGGTCACAAATCAAACTAGCAGACCACATTGGTTACGTGATAGAAGAGTGAAAATTTAACACAATTAGGTTTGATCAATATAAACATTAAACATGCTGGCAATTCAATTCATAATCCTAAGAAAATAAATCTACCTTCTTTTCTTTGCACATCTGCAAAGCACGAGAGAATATAGAAGCAGCATTTTGTGCTTGGGCTTGCTTCACAGAATCCAACATAGAAGGGGTCGCATAGACCACTGTTGCATATTTGAAGAATCAAAATAAGTGCTGGTAAGAAAATGCTTAAAAAATTGCTAAAAATTTGACTCCAAAGTTGGCCATTAATTTTAACCGTACATTTATCATAATCTTCTATAACTTTTATCAAAAGTGCTGTAAAACAATACTTAATCAATAAAACAAAGAATAATCTATTTATCATTATGGCGATGGAACATCAGTAATGTCAAAGTCTATGTGGAATAATGAGATTGAGCAGTTCAATTTTTATGAGAGTGAAGGGATCATGATGATAAATAACATTACGCTAAAACAAAATATCAAGATACACAGTCCGTATATAGCTTATACATATGTTTGTGTAAACTAATTAGTAAATTTACAATAGAGGATCCAACGTTTTCGTGTGGATAATAATAGGAAATAATTATGAATATGTGATTGAAATTAACGCATGAATGTATAGTTGAAATTAAGGTGCGAGAATTGACCACCTAGATTTTAAATTCAAGTTCGAATAATTAATCAATCTAATTCACTTTATTCTTAAAAGAATAATAATAAAGTAAATATTGTGTTCCCCATGTTAAACTAGAAGTGTATATATGGTATATAAAATTAGCCCGGTTTGATATAAATTTAAATCAAAATTTAAATTTAAATTAAAATCATCGATTAATCTTAACCATATATTTTATGAATCTACGACTTTTCAATCACACTTTTCATTAATTATATCAAAATCTAATAAAAATTTAATTTAATTCAAATCAAACATGCACTAAATGTATTAATGAGAACCAGAGGATACCTGGTCCAGCAGGGTAAATGAAGGGTTGGAAGATTGGCTGAACATGAACCAAAATGATCATGCCAGGCTCCTGATCAGGCTGAATAGGATACCAGAAAAAGTGGTCAAGTGCCCACTTAAGTGCATAAAAACTCCCATCACTCTCATCCATAGCCACCAACACCTTCGTTTTGCTTTTCTCCTCCGCCGTCGCCGCCGTCGTCAACGGCTGATGCGCAGCTCCCTCTGCTCCTGTACTACTCGTCTCAGCTGTCGTCGTATCCATCTCTCTCTCTCCCCCTTCGCAGAAAGTAGAGCAATTATAGTCCACTATAATAAGTTTTGACAAAATTTGAACTTTAAAATCTTTATTGGGTGTAATTCCTGGCCTGACGGGTGTCGTCCATGCATAACAAAACATCCATTTGTACATGCAAAGGAGGACAGCAATAGCATCTAGCAAGCCACACGTTGAAGCCCCTACGCCATTCCGTTTTAATTTTGCATCAATGACCTCACTCTATTCATACAATGAAATAATGACACGACAAATAGAAGAGCTTAATAACAGCGTTCTAAAAAGCGTAAATTTAGTCGGGTAAAGTTAAGCTTTAAATTTTTATGAACTTAAATGGTTCTTGAAGAAATTTAAGGGTAAAATTGTTTTAAAACGTGGTTAGGCTATAACGCCAAACTCCATATCTAAATGCGCTTTTCAGAATTTTTCTTGAAACAAAAACTTGAAATATAGTGGACTTGTTGATTTAAGAGATAGTAGACTAATACCTCTTATATTTCAAATTTGGACTAACAAATCCTCGCTTTTGAGTCTTGACGATGTCTGAAGTAAATTTTACCTTCAGTTTGTCTTCGACTTAAAAAGAATTTTTTGGAAAAAATGAATTTTGGAATAGTGATTTTTTTGGAGAATACGTGATCGAAAAATTAAAAAAAAAATTCTATTTACGTGTAAAATATTTTATTATGTAAATTTATGATTGAAAATAAATTTGAAAAAAAAAAGAGAGAGTTTTAATTTAATGGAAGACAGAGAGAATTGGTAAAAATAAAATATGTAATACTTCATTCAAGTGGTTGTTTTTTCCACCAAGTATTTGTAAAATTGGTGGTAGATACGGAACAGGAGATGGCGCATGGTGGTGGTGATGAACAATGCAAATGGCTGAGTCAGCGGGAGGAGTCCATATTAACGATGAGATAAAGTCATGTTACCATGTTTGAAGTCTATTTACACGGATAACTACTAATTAGGTGTTTGGTAGGGATTAAAATTAGATTTTTTAGTAGATTGTGATAAAAGTTTTTGAAATGTGTATTTGAAAAGTTGTGGGACCTGTAAGGGGATTGCACTGACCTTTTATTGCTTGCTGTCACCAAGAGCGTGCTCAGAGGAGCTTTGGTAAGACAATTTTATATTTATACATGATATGATCGTCCTTTTAAATCACGACATATTGGACCTCAAACTATACAAATTGTCATACATCAACTTCGAATGGTCCATCTTGCCACCTCGGACACTAAGGTGTACGATTTGAGTGGCTTGAAATCCTATATATCATGATTTAAATATATCATTGCAGGAAATTTAGAACATACTCCCATTTGCTCGAATTTTCATCGTAGATAGATACATTTAAAAAGAGTGTGTGCGAATTATAATTAATGTCTCATTTGTAATTTTATTTTGTAGTTACCGTTCTTTGGCACATTTGTTTTAAAAAACTCATACTAGATTGCCATAAAATGTGCAATCACAAAATCGGTATCTTAGATTGCCTACGATCCAACAAGTCACCACTAAGTAACATGTGATATTTTGAGAAGTCTAGTGGTCGAAACTCAATAGTTTAAAGTATGATGAGCAATAAAAAATGTCTACCTCTCCCTATGTTCAGTGCTCAGCTAATAGGTATGCACTGAGAATTTCTCCTTGGTCCATGTTTTGAACTATTTATGATCTCTTCAACAAGTATAGTGAGCATTGGAACAATTTACTCCCATAAAATGTCTCTAGGAAACAAGACACTGCTTTATGTGGACTTTTCCTTCTTCGTGATTTGACATTCAAGTTGTGATGGAGTGTCAGATGTGAAAATCGTTAGCCAAATCAAATATATTGTTAGAGACCCAAAACGGTAGGGATTTCGATGAGTGCTTTTAATGTATGGACACTAAATTTTGTGCGCTTATTGTTTACTTTAGGAGAAAACTTAGTATTGGTCGAGAAATGGAGGAAGGAAGGAGGTTTGATCCATAAGGATGGAAGTTCGACGAACTTTAGAATTTGGGGACCAAATATCAAGTTTGGAAGTTGAAGGATCTAAATTATAATACTGGAGGACTTAAGTTGAACAGAAAATGAAATTGAGGGTACTAAATTGCACGATATTGAAAGATGTTCAACAACTTAGTTGTACACATTCTCATTTTTCAAGTTGATACAATCCATTCATTGTACGAACTATTGACTTGATCACAAACATTTTCAGAACTCCGTCGTCAGAGGGAAGACTTCTCTCTTTACCTCTTTACATATGTTCCTAAATGGGTATCACCTCTAGATGGGTGGTGATCGGCCTCTCATTTATGTAATGATAACAAGGTGATACCAACCTACGATCGCAAATGTGTCCAATTAAAGTTGCAGTAAGCCATCTTGTTTTTCCATGCGATACCGTGGAACATACCTAAACATACCTATGTGATTTTTATAATTTGACTTAACCTTTTGTTTTTAATATGATAGGACATGAGTTTTGACCTAATTAGAGGTCAATAAATAGGTTTTCATCATTATTTCAAGGGAAACACATTTGAAAGTCAAATAACATGGATTCACACTCTATAGCTCTAATTTGAAATTTGAAAATATATTATAATTAATTAGTTGGGAGATCTACAATTATCAATGAAAGAGATTAAATATTCATTTCTACGATCTATGTGGTATAGATCAACAATAGTTTAGGTACGTGTTTGGTACTGATTTTTCATCCCAAAAAAATTAATTTTTTGACCGTTATCTCACTATTTCAACCGTCATTTTTTACTTCTTCTCTTATAGGTAGGACCTACTTTTCTTTCCAACGGTCAAAAAATTAATTCTCAAAATTATTATCGAATAAGAATTCTTTTCTTGAACTTGATTTTTTATATCATTCATGTTTAATTCCACAATGATGAGCGATCAATTCTTAGGGCGTGTTTGTGCTGTTTGTAGCTTTTAGTTTTGCCAAAATGTGTAAGATTTGGTATTTGTGAAAATGTATTTTCGAAAACAAAAATAAAATTATAACATAAAAATTAAAATGCATTTTTGACATTTTAAGTGTTTTTGGGGAAAATTGTGAAAACATTCAAAATATGGAAAAACAAATGTTTAAATAAAATTTTATTTAACAAAATTCTAAAAATTAAAAATTTTAAAAATAAAAATATAAAATTCTATCAAATAAAATTTTAAAAGTGTAAAAAATAAAAAAAATTGATAAGTTCTTAAAAAATAAAATAAAAACTTTAAATTTTGATGATTATTTACCTAAAAATTCTAAAAAATATATTTAAATGAACATGGATAAATATATTCCCAGTCCTTGTAGAAGTTTATATATATATGTATATGTATATGTGTGTATATATATATATTGGCCTAAAATTATTTTATTTTTACTAAATAATCAAATTTCGCGAAATAAAATGTTGTAAAATAATTTTTTCAAATTTCAAGCCAAATGTATTTATAGTTTCCCATTATATGAAATAAAATTTCAAAATGGCAAATCAATCATGTTTTAAGAATCTTAAAATAAACTTTCAAAATGAAAAGCTGAAACTAAACTCAAAATTGAAAACTGAAACACAAATCAAGTGAACCCTTAATTGTTAGGATGAATAATAGAGCTTATATCTCAACATTAATTTAATCAAAGATTTCTTGCAACTTTGTTCATATGTTGATTGCTTATTATGTGTTTAGTGACACACCATGATTTAATCATCATTTGATTGGTATAGGGACATTATTGAGATCGGCATGATATATAATTACGGGGCTGTTTGGGCCCGATTTTTTCACCCAAAAAATTAATTTTTTTTACTGTTATTTTACTATTACAGCCGTCATATTTGATTTCTTCTCTCACGGGTGGACCCCACTTGTCTCCTAATGGTCAAAAAATCAATTCTCAAAATCACTCCCAAACAGGCTCTATGTAAGTTCTAGATCATGTAATCAATAAGTATATAGATTTTAGGGGAATTTTCAAAAATGTCACAAAATTAATAAGGTCCCTAAAAGTTGTCATTTTCACTTTATGTGAGCAAAAATATCACTTTTTTTTGTGTGAAATGTCCAAATTATCCTTAATGACACATTTTCATTAGCATTTAATGCTTGATTTGAAAGAATTGATTATATTGATGTGATGATTTATTTTATATATATAAAATATGGATAAATATGTATTATATTGATTAATATGAATTTGTGTTAATAAAAAAGGGTAAAAGAAATTTAAAATGAAACATAAACAAATATATCTTCTTCTTCTCTTACAAACCCTAATTTTTCTCATCTTTTTCATTTCATTGATCAAGAAGATTTTTCTCTTGCATTCATAATCCATTTTGAGAGGTTAGTTATTAGAAAATATTTACATTTTACTTTTACAGTTTACTATTTTGTAAATATTAAATACAACCTGGACATATTTACTTAAAATTTTTGAAATTATTATTTATTGATTTTATTTTTTTTTAAATCCTTCACAAATATGATTATCACTATCAAGGTTTTGAGTACTTTCTTCCATTCAAACCAAATAATGTTTTCATTAAATGTCTCTTCAATAATAAGGCCAATCTGACATTTTTCATCTAGCTCAATACTAATTATCACACTTAATGTTTTGTGCTGAAGAATATGTTCTACCCACTGTCATCTGTTTCTCGACATTTTCGACGGTTCAACTGTCGAATTTGACATTTACAAACCGTCGGGTTAGACGTTTGAAATGTCGAACTCGACATTTACAAACTGTCGGGATATATAGTTTTACTGTTAAATTGAACACTTAAAAACGATGGAAAGCCTTGATTTGACCTTTTACTATTGTACGGATTTACGTATTATGTAGTGCCACTTTCATGCTATTAAATGCTAACACATTGATTCTGTAGAATTTTTATCGTTGCAATCCCATCATTTGAGGTATGAATAATCATTTGAGTTTCATCATGTCGCATGGGGAAAGTTTGTTCGTGCGGATGACGAATAGAAGTAAAGACGGGACAAAACCACTTACATTCTGGTTCCGACAAGTAATATCGTAACCGGACTTTTGTTAATGTTGAAGGACAAACTTGATATTCTTTATCCCCGTACTCAAATTGAATTGAAGTTCAAGGTCGTTAACTTGAATATACCTCCGACCGAAATACGCGACGATGAAGACTTATTTTCATCACATCTCAAATTGAATTTGAAAGACAATTAGTGTGATGTTTTTAAAATCTAAGTGCGCTTGTATCACTCACACTTGGTCTATCATTTATGAAAATTGTGTACATTAAATCATGTGTACCATTTCATTTTGATTGAAACATGGTACGCACAATATTTTAATGCAAACAAAGAACTGCTCATTATGTTTTGCAAGAAAACGATGTCCAGTGATATTACCATGATTCACGAACGTTTTTGATTGAAACAAATCATAATATTCAATTCAATCATGTTTATTTTTAATTGAATACCAGTTTTAATCGATAAATCAAATGAGTTTCGAAAGCAAGAAAGTTATAAAATGCACCAAAAATCATTTTTATGTACACAACCTTGCTCAAGTATCGAACATGATGTAATCATTGTTTTGTACTATGGAGTAGCTCCATGACCCTATTTAAAAAAAAAAATCTACTATTCTTTACTATTTACTATTCATTACTATAAACATTTTCTGTATGAAACAAAAACAGTTTCCTCTGCCAACCTCACATAAATAAAACCAACTAATGCAAAATTATATACATAAATAGAAAACAAAATGTTTTTCCGTGCAGTTGTCACAGTCATCAAAAATAGACCATTGTGAAGGTTGTTCTTTCTTTGACAACGAAATCGATTGGTTCCATCTCCAATTATAGCAAGAATGTGTGCACCAGCACTTTGACGATCATTCAAGTCATGAGTACGAGTCTGCTCATATGTCATCATACATTGGTGAAATTAGTATTCCGAGATAAAGCACGTAGAAAATAATGTGAAGAAATGTAATAACGTTCACCTTATGTGCAAAAACAATCTAATCACAGTACATAATATAACTCAATTGATTCATGCAATCTATCATAATCTGAATTTAAACCAGCAACTTCCACAAAAATATATTTGAATTGCATGTGATCCAAAAATTATGAAGAATGAATCGTGACGGTGGTGGTATTATTATACAAATAAAAACGTGAAACACAAAAATATAACCACATATGGAAATCAGTCACATGTGAGACGTTCGGATGGAAAAAATCTAACCAAATACGGACAAATCAATCAAAAAAATCATGAGATCATAGTATTTCATATATATTTATGTAAAACACTCGTGCAAATGTTAGAATGAACCAAAGTTTGACTTGTGGAATGGAGCGGAGGGAAGTTTTAATCGAGAACGACAGTTCATCTGTCAACTGTTTCATCTATCGAGAATTACCGAGGCTAACTGTCAAAACCGACAGTTAGGCGCGATGACATTTCTCTACATTAGTGAACTATCGAAAGATGAACTATCGGGAAATCTACTTTTCACCTCTAAGCAAATATGTATTATTGAAACTTATTTCACTCCATATTCGAGCATAACAAAATATTAAAACCACATGTATGCTGTCAACTGTCTAGTAAGAATTCAACCCAAATAAGGGTACCTCCCACAATAAATGGATTCCAAGTAATAGTAATGTTATTTCCACATCACACAAGTACCAAAAATATTGAAACATTCAAAATACTTGAAATTTGGACTTTGAAAGCAAAGGAAGAGGATAAATATTAAATTGGAACCCTAAATAATTTTTTCTCTCAACATTAGTGTTGGCACGTGTTACGTGTGCATATATGCATCACTAATAGAAGATGTATAAAAAAAGAGAAAATTAAAATTTATGGTATGAAATTGCAGAAAGTTGGGGAAAAACATTTTTAATCATAACACAACCAAAAATTATTCAAAATGTCCAAAAAAATTATTGAATATCAAAAGGATTTTTACCTCTTTCTAATCCAAGCCCCAACTCTTATTTTAAACCGAGCAAAAAGCTCAATTTTTCGCATATCATAAACCCCCTACAGATAAAAATATCACAAAAACTGAGTAAAAAAAACAAGATTTTTCTCTCTTGGATTGAAACTCGTAATGAGAGAAATGAGAGAGAGTGAGTGAGTGAGAGAGTTAGAGTTGTTTGAATGAGAGAAATAAAATTCATCTATTTTTTTCCAACTTTTCATCTATGACATTGACAAAATTTTTGTACAATTTCTTCCATTTGGTCAAATCTCATTTAATTAGGACATGTATGGAATTTGAAATTATTTTCAAGGGCAAATATGTCTTAAATTGACATTCTTGCAATGTTTAAAAAAAGTGACATTTTTGTAAATATCTTGAGAAAAATTGACATTTTGTGCAATTTCCTCTAGATTTTAATAGAGTGTTGCTTCGTGGACAGGGGCACCAACAGGGGCGCCTGTTCCGTGGCGCCCCTGTCCCAAACCCAGTCCATATGGTTTTTTCCATTTTAATAAGAGATCAAGAGACTTTTTTATACTTTATACAATCTTGATTGTATCACACAAAGAGAGAGAGAAAAGGGCGGGAGGGGAGGTGGGGTTTATGTGAATATGCTAGTTTTACTCGATAGAGATTATTAGCCAAAACTTGTTAATTAGATTATTAACACAAATGAAAAGGAACGACGTTGGATTAAATGAATGATAATTAAGTAAAATCGAAATTTCCGACTAAATTCTAAAAGTTTTTCAAAAATCTTACACTTCAATTGATTTAGATAAATTTAGAATAACTTTAATTTTAATATCAATCTATTTTATTTATTATTTTTGTTGCCATATGAATTTAGATTGAAGATAGATTTAGATAAAAATTAATAGTAGATAATTGTTATTTGTAGGACAATACTTGAACTTTAAAATTCACGTTGTCATGAGCCATATACTTGCAATTTAAACGAACACCGACCAGCTCTAATATTATATGGAATTTTCCACTATTTCATAACCCAATACATGAAAAAGCAATGCACAATTTTCCTTTCGCAAGATTTGTACCTACATTTTTCTAGGAGACTCAAGACTCAAGAGATCATTGAGGTAGAAAAATATATAAAAATAAAAATAAAAAATTGAAAGGAACTTAATTAGTAAAAATTAAAATTAGTAAAAATTAAGGCAAAAATAAGTTGATTTATAATAAATTTTGATAAAAGTTAATCGTGCTCTCTTTGTTAGTCGGAGAGTTCTCCTGGGAAACGTGTCGGTTTTCCGTTAGCTATTAAAATCCGTCTCTACACTCGACTACACCACAATACCTCTCCTTAATATTTCCAATTTCTGTAAGTTAACCTGAACTTTCCACAAACGTCCAAATACATCCCTATCGTAAACAAAATTGAGAAAACCCAAGCCCTCTCTTCCCCTCCAAATTACAGTAACCTCTCTCTGTGATTTATCGATCGGACGCCTGTATCTATTCAACCATGACGATGATAACTCCTCAACCGATGGATGTAACTCTCATCTCCTTTCAGCACTTATTCTTACAATTTACTCCATTTTCGTTGCTACTTCAAAATTATCTATTACTCTATGCGCACGATATATCTATCAATATTTATTTTATTTTATTTTGTAATTTTTTCCTATGTTTTATAATTGGTTACGCCTGTATATGTTTATGCTTGCACGGGGACTGAGTGGTTGTGATCGACTAGGGTTTTTGGGAAATAGAAAGGGTTGTTTAATTTACTGTACTGAAATTGAGGTTTTCCCAATTGTGATTAACTACTTGAATGAAGAAATTCGGGGTATTTTATTTGGGCAAAGGCTAGGGTTTTCTGGATCAACCTTGATTTTCTTTGTTTGTTTTCGTGCTCTGAAATTTTAGCAGCAGGAAGAAGAAGAGATGCTGGTGCCGCACTCAGATTTAGTAGAGGGTCCTCAGCCTTTAGTAGAAGGCCCTCAGCCTATGGAAGGTTTGACTTTCCACCTTTACTTGAATTTTATGCATCTGTCTTAATTCATATACATGAAGTATGATTGAATTGAATGGTTTTTAAACCTTTTTGTTCAATGTTACTGGGTTGCGTTTGTCATTTTATTGTCCCATTGGTCAAGTTTTTTATGCCTTGTATAGTTGTATTGGTGTGACTGAGTTTCCAATAAATTGGTTTTTCACTAGTAGGACCAGCAGAGAATCCTGGGACAGTGGAAAACCAGGCAAGTGATGAGCCACAGGCATCACGGTTCACGTGGATGATCGAGAACTTCTCTCGCTTGAATGTAAAGAAGCTGTATTCTGAAGTCTTTATTGTTGGAGGTTATAAATGGTAATCTAAAGCTGTAAATTTGGTTCCACATTTCGTTTCATTCACACTACCGCACATTAGAAAGGAAATAATAATATTAGTTTGCACACGAAAAAGAAAGAACTTTTGTCACGTGTTATGGAAAATGTTTTCATGTTTATGCTACTGTGCATTAGGAGAATGGCCTGATCACATCTTGGTTTTCATTGGTTTGGACAGGAGGGTTCTTATTTTTCCGAAAGGAAACAATGTGGACTACCTATCAATGTATTTAGATGTGGCAGATGCAGCTACCTTACCATATGCGTGGAGTAGATATGCACAATTTAGCTTGGCTGTAGTCAATCAAATGCATAGCAAGTACACAGTAAAGAAGGGTATCACCTGGCACTATACTAATATCTACTTTTTCTCAACCTCGATCTGGGAATATTATTCATTTCCTTATTTGCAGTTACGCATTTATGAATTCTTTTTACTTATTATTCATGTAGCTAAGTCTTGATTCCCGTATATCCACTTTCAAGGCCTTAATTACACTTCGTGATTAATTTTTGTTATGGTTTTTTATTTTATCAATTGTGTTGTGGTATTTGCTTGAACGCCACAATTAAATTCTGTACCCCACCCTAATTCCCTGGAGGCCTAGAATCCATAGGCTTTCGCTTTCACGCAACTCTGAAATTTCAGTGATGGTAAAATCTTGGTTTATTTCATCCCGAGGGAGTTGCAAGCGCACTAATTTTCTATAATAGTCAAAATAGAAAATGGAAGGCTTGTTAGTTAACAGAATAAAATAAGGAAGAGAGAGAGAGAGAGAGAGAGGAAGAAGAAGAAGAAGAAGAAGAAGAAGGAAGAAGAAGAAGAAGAAGAAGGACGACAACTAATTTGAAAGAAATGTGGAAAGATCAAACTACAAATCCTGTTGTATCAGGGAAAGAGATTGCTGTGCTTGCTATTCAGGAACTTTTTTGTTGCCATGTTTCGTTTATTTTGCACCTCAAAACTATGTTCTGGTCTAGGTCTTTTGCAACTAGTGAACATCAGTCTAGTGAAGGTATGCTCATGCAGTTTTGATGATATTTCCCTTAAGTTGAACATCTTAGTTAGAAATTGGTTTCCTTCTTTCTGCATAAAAAATTGAGTTCCTACTCTACAAGTTTTTAGGTTTTGAGCCGAGTTATCAAAGTGAACTTTATGGAATAGTATTGATAAGTAATATTTCTTTGGGCTTGTAAGCTTCACCGAGTTTGAATGATTAACTTGGTTTCTTGAGACATGGAACCGGAAATTTACCTATCTCCACACTCTAATGGAACATGGAAGTCGTGTAGTGAATTATGAACTCTCTTTTGTTGCTACAGATACACATCACCAGTTCAATCAGAGGGAGAGTGATTGGGGTTTCACTTCTTTCATGCCTCTCAGTGAGCTGTATGATCCCAGTAAGGGGTATCTTGTCAATGATACATGTGTTATTGAAGCCGATGTTGCTGTGCGTAAGGCCATTGATTACTGGACTTATGACTCAAAGAAGGAGACAGGTTATGTTGGACTCAAGAACCAGGGAGCAACTTGTTACATGAACTCTCTCCTTCAAACTTTGTACCATATTCCTTACTTCAGAAAGGTTACAATAGATTCTCATTTTTTAGCGAGTTCATGTCTATAGCTGTTTCACTCATGAGCTCATTTATTAGGAAAGGTAAAAGAAGTCTAATTTTGGATTATTTGTATCAGGCTGTGTATCATATGCCAACAACAGAGAATGATATGCCCTCAGGGAGCATTCCTTTGGCTTTGCAGAGTTTATTTTATAAGCTCCAATATAATGACACCAGTGTGGCTACAAAAGAATTGACTAAATCTTTTGGATGGGACACTTATGATTCCTTTCTGCAGCATGATGTGCAAGAACTTAATAGAGTTTTGTCTGAAAAGCTCGAAGACAAGATGAAGGTACTGTGGTCTGATAGATCCTGTGGCTTCCTTATATAACTTTGATGGTCAAGATTTGATGCGAAAATGTAAAACGTGAGATACTTAATATTTGTCTTGCTGAACAGGGAACTGTAGTTGAAGGGACCATACAGAAATTATTTGAAGGGCACCATATGAATTACATTGAATGTATAAATGTGGACTTCAAATCTACAAGAAAAGAATCTTTTTATGGTTAGTCGTTTTGCAGGCTTTCCTCATTTTGTGTTGACAGATGAACTTAATTTTCGTACATGTTCTCATGGCAGATTTACAACTTGATGTCAAAGGCTGTAAGGATGTTTATGATTCCTTTGATAAGTATGTGGAAGTTGAGCGCCTTGAAGGTGATAACAAGTATCATGCTGAAGAACACGGCTTGCAGGTTGGTGCTGTGTTGATAGATGAAGCAATTTGCATAGGTCTCTGTTTGTGCGTGTTTGTTCTGAATGCTACCCTAGTGGAGCAAAAGGATTTTGTGGTGTGGGCAAGTTAACTTCATGACCGTCTGCTTGCAGAAGTCTTGAAGAACAAAAAATAAATAAATTAGTTATTAAAATCAAAGGACTGGTTACCGACTCACTGTGAATTCATCTCCACCCTTGTTGAAAGATGCATCTCACTTTTTAAATGGATATAGTGGAGATTGTTACTTTCTGTACATTAGCTGTCAATTAATTTCAATATCAGCATCTTGCTGCAGTCACAATTTGGAACCCAATTTGATATGCTGTATCCTTTTTCCCTGTAATTTATTTTTTCCTTAGCTTGTAGAGTTGGATTTCGTGGGGGCAGGGGCGGGGGGTGGGGATTGATTTGTAAGTAGATGAGGCATCAAATAGAGTTCAAAAGAAGAAAAATGGTTAGCATGATAAAAGCAAGTTATGCAGATAGTGATTTGATATACGGAATGATCTATGTGCCAGGAAAATGACATGTTTCTCTGTCAACATTGCATGACTAAGCTGAGAAAGTTACAGACTGGATAGTTCATTCTTCTGCCCTGCAGTAGTAGTAGTTTTGCCATATTCTGTTTGAGACATGATTTTTCCACGATATCTGTTTCCGTGTTTATTGATCTTCAGTTTGATACGCGTATATGTTCACTTGATTGAACTTCGCTCCTTAAATTTTAGTCTAATTTGATATTTTTGTAACCTTAGGATGCCAGGAAGGGTGTCTTGTTCATTGACTTCCCTCCAGTTCTTCAGCTTCAGCTAAAACGTTTTGAGTATGATTTTATGAGAGATACAATGGTTAAGGTTAGCATCTAAAATATTAATGGCATTTCATTATTGCTTGATTGTTGCATGTTTTGATTGTTGTCTCATGTTATTGTTATATCTTACGAAGTGTTACGAGCTTTCCTTGTTGTATATGATAGCTACTAGCTTCTTGTTTTATAGCGTGATCAACTATTTGCGCCAACCATGTAAAGTTAAATCTTAAAGTTATAAGGTTCCCGATCCAGCATTTTGATAACTTGTCTATATTTTGTGATCCCTAAGTATCCCTAGAGGATATCTATCTTAATAAAATGAATGGTTTCAGATGAAAAACCATTTGTCCCTTTTGCTCTATATTGAAACTTGGGGCTTTTTCAACACTTAAAAAGAAACTAAGGAATAGCATCATGCTTTGTGCTGGAGCATACCTGGACAACTATGAACTTCTTGTGCTAGTTCATTTGTTGTAGATGATGATGGTGAATTCTTAATTAAAATTCTCTAGTTTTTTGTTGCATTATTTCCTGTAAAGAGTTGATTTATCGTCCTTTTCCATGTATAATCTACTTTTTCTTGAAACATTATATTTTCCCAGAAATAATCTTGAAGAAACATTTATATTTTGTCTATATGTTTTTATTTTTATTTTTGAATGATTTGAGGTTAACTCTGATGGTTTAAATAAAGTCATCCCGACATTGATTATGTCTTTATATTTCCATATGCATATTGATATCTAATTCTGATGAAACACTGAAAAATTTGCTTTCATGATCAGATAAATGACCGCTATGAATTTCCTCTGGAACTTGACCTTGATAGAGACAATGGAAAATATTTGTCGCCTGAAGCAGATAGGAGTGTCCGCAACCTTTACATGCTCCATAGGTTAATTGCGCTCCCTCACTCCATGCTTACCTCCCTTTCTATTTCTGCGTCTACTAGTCTATGTGTTCTAGTTTTTGCGGCCGTCTAAGGTGCAACTTGCGTAAGAAACTAAATCACTCATGAAAGTTAGAAGAAAAACAGAGAGATGTTTGAGAAATTTGTATGATAGATTCTCTTATCAAAGTAAGCTCCTCCATTACTTTGTATAGAAACCTGTACTCCTTATTGGAATTTTTTGTGCCTTGCCATGCACAATCGCTGGCTTGAATTGGTAGATGTGAATTTTCTGTTTCTCTCTTCTTCTAACCTTCAAGTCCTATATATAATGTTGATTTCCAATTTGTATATTGCCGCTTATGATCTTAAATTGTTTTGACATAAACTCTCCTTCACCTGCTGCTACTATATTGTAATGCATTCCTGCCTCTTAGCTAATCAGTGTCTGATATCTGTATTTCCTGATTTGCACCTGTTGCCACCGACTTATTATTGTATTGTGTACAAATGGTCTGATTTCTGGTGTTCTATTCCTTGTTACCATTTTCGTTACCAATTTCTGCCGTCGCTATCTCATTTAGTGCTTTTTTGGGATAAAATTATAACTTCTGAAATTATAATGTGATAGAAATGAGTGTTCGATAATTGGGTAGTAGTTGGAGGTCCTATGAAATGTGATTAAAAATCAAAGTTTGACGTTAACTTTAAATTATGTGATATTATAATGTTTCCTAAACGAGCACTTAGCTTAACGTGTGAAGATTATCTTTGTAAATATTTGCTTGTTTGAAATCAACTTTTCTCTGATCGCAGCTTCTCATACTGACTTGGTAATTTCTTGGTTATGTACCACTTTTTCTAGTAGTTGTCTCCTTCACTTGGCTGATGCATTCAACTAATTTAAATCTCACTTATGATATGAAGATTACATGGTGTGGAAACATCAATTGTGGTTACATTAAGCTGTATTGAATTTTTTAGCACCTTTGGTTAATAATAGATAATTAAGTATTTCATGTCTGAGGAGCTCTTTTTGTGTAAGAAATTTTTGTAAAAGAGATCCCTGTGATCTTGCTTAATGACATTAAAATTTTAAACTAGTAAATTTTAACCAAGTTAATATGAAATTTGTCATTGGAAATTCTCTCCTTATTGTTCATTTCAGAAGATATGTTTTCTGTTGTTTTTGGCTTTGAACCCTATCTCGACTTGTGTGATCATTTGTTGACTTTTCCAATAGTGTTTTGGTTCATAGTGGCGGTGTGCACGGTGGACATTATTATGCTTTCATAAGGCCAACGCTCTCTGACCAGTGGTACGTGAAATATTTTTGGTATCC